AAGGGTATTAAAGGGGATTCACAAGGATCAGAATGATAGTTTTTCAGTTCAGTGCAGAACGCCATTCTTAAATAAATGATAGTATGATATACCTCTTAGCGACATGCTATGAATAAGTGTCATAGACCTCAAGTTAGCAAGGTCAAGTAGAATTTGGTATGGAGATAGTATTGGGATAATGTTGGTAAAGACTTCTAAATTCCAGGAGTGAGTCCGTTGATGGATATAATTAATATGCTATTTTATTAAGAGGCTATTAATGTTTTAAGGGAAATTAATGAAGCATTGTTGTTAAAAATGTGACACGTGAGTTATAATCATTGAAATATAGTATAAGGAAATGTTAGTATTTCATGAAGAAAAAACAAGAATCAACCAAATGCATGACAAGAAAGAATTGATAACAAAAATGAGATCTTAAGAAAGTGATTTTACAAGAACAATTAGTAGAAAAAATTTAAAGATTGGGAAAATAACTTTATTTTAGGAATACATCATGATTGGAATGATGGAAGTGGCATTACATACATAATGACCAATACTTTTAGGATCATATGATATAGTTCGATCATAATAACTTATGGAATAGGTTGATGGCAACAAATATTGATATAGACTACTAATAGGCAAGATTGGAATATTTAAGCATCAAATATGTATATGTGCTTTTAAGGAGATGATTACTATGATAAGGCTAAGTATGGATAATAGGTGTTAGGTGTTATTTGTAAACTTCATTTGGTAAGGATCTAGGAATAGAATGTTAAGTATGAATAAATCAAAAACTTAATTTTAGTATGAAGTCAAGGATTTTGTAAGCCTTAGATGTTTTGATGTTATATAATTCATAGAAAAAGTATGATACAAATTAAGTCCTAATGCCATGAGATATACTGATAAGTTGAGATTCAAGGAAGGAGTTCGAGAAACTTCTTGATATAAAGGACTAATATGGACCATAGATCCATTAAGAGATGAGGCCTAGAGACCTAGTTTGGGTCAGAAGCGATTTCGAGGACGAAATCATTATAAGCGGGTGAGAGTTGTAACACATGTGTTCCCTTTTAAAGATAATAGAGTATAAATGTTTGTTTATAAATTTCAAAGGGAATATATGTTTCTTTTTAGCCAAAGTAATCTAAAGGAAAGTTATAGTTCATTCAAAGACGATTCTATGGATATAAAGAACGTCAAAAAACGGAGTTCGCATGAGAAAATTACGCCCAAATGAAGATAATACCAAAATCAAATTACGAGGCGTGTAACTCTTCTACACGGTGCGTCGACAAGAGGGTGGTAGGTAACATTTCGCAGAGTAAGACACATGGCAAATATTCAACACGTCTTATGGATGGCGCGCGTCTCTTCCTTGGACGCGACACGATGGCATTTTTAGGTCCCTATAAATACAACCTCAAGCCTCTTCATTTCTCACCACTTTCTCTTTAAAAAAACTCTTGCTCTTTCCCTCGAGATATCAATCCCTCGTGATTTGATTTTTCGTTCTTGAGTATCGCAGCGAAACGTTGAAATGTTGGAAGCAACCAACAAGAAAAAGGATTAAACATCGAAGTCAGGCTCTTTGTTTTCCGAGTCATTCGGCAATCAAGTAAGTTATACTTTCGCTTAGGTATAACTAGATATAGAGTATTCCCATTGTCATTGTTATGAAAGTATAAAATAGGATTAATGAAGCATCTAGTTATTAGTTACTAGATTCCATAGTTATTAATCAGAAATAGTATTATAGGTTAATTCGTGCTTGGCGTGTCTACTCACCAGTTGAACCGTAGTTAGATGTTCAAGTATTGTTGAGTTAAGTTACAATAATTCATTTATTATGTTAGTTTTGTCTATTTATGTGTAATATTTTCTAAGGATACCCTCTTCGATACAGTGGAATAGGTTATATGGATGGACTAATTATGATATCTTTCATTGAATCAGTTACAGGGGAAGACGATTATAATGCTAGTGTGATCAATCTTCAAGTATAGGTATATGTGAAATGGATTGACTGCAGCAGCATCCACATTACAATTATAAAACTAATTTGAAACTGTAAAGTATTCTGCTATTTAGTCTCAATGACAATGTTTTATTTAACACTATAAAAAATGACTTTTTTATGAATGATATCTTATTATCAACTTTTAATTAGGACAAAATAGATCTTTTATCCTTTTACAACTTTTTGGTTATAGAGAATTAGGGTGTTACAACTTTTTGGTTATAGACATAAACTTTGAATCACGTCCTCGTCCATATCAAGATTAGTTCCATGATTAGTTTTACAAAACTAAGATTTATACATAAATTACGTATTTATATGTTGTATGACATTTTACATGCTAAATGTTAGGGATGAGAGTATGGACCGGGAAACCGGCCGGAACCGGAACCGGCACCGGCACCGGAACCGGAACCGGCACCGGCACCGGAACCGGAACCCGATGGAACCGGTCGGGCCGGGACCGGGACGTTATTTTTGTGGATTTTTGGACGGGAACCGGTAGGAACCGGAACCGATATAACCGGAACCGGTAGAACCGGCAAAAACCGATAGAACCGGCAAAAACCGGAACCGTATGATGCTATTTTTAGAGGACCGGTTCCAACATTTGAAGACACGACAAGAACCGGTAGAAACCGGTAGAACCGCCGGGCCGGTTCGGTTCTTGATTTTGGCCGAAGCCGGTTCCCGGGTCGGGTCCGGTTCGGGCCGGTTCCGGCCGGTTCGGTCCTTTTGCTAATCTCTACTAAATGTTGCATTTCTAGATTCACGGTTATTATAAAATTTTAACATTTTGTTATCGATAATTGTACAAAATTTTATAAAAATAGCGTTGTATAATTTAAATATTGTATTTTGTTTAGTGCATTAACATGTATTATATATTAGCACACAAACCAATTACATGGTGACTTATCCGGTAAGACAATTGTCATTCCATACTGGATGTTCAGTATTTGATCGGTTTTGAGGATTTCAGTTGGTATTTTGTTAGGAGAAGATTTGCGACGTACTGCGGTGTCTTAATGTATCGTCCAAATGGATTTCCTCTCCCGTATCCTCGCAAAGCGAAAAGCCATAATGGGCAATGGAGAACCCATTTTATATTTTAGTACACAAAACACTTAAAATGACTGTTTTTTCTCTCTTTCCACAAAGTCTTGTATAAATAAGATTGAATTGCATATATGTTTTTTCTAGACGGAATAAACCACATAATCTAACAAAATGACCTTACATTCCAAAAATCAAATCTCACAAGATATATCAATTTCAACAATATTGGTCAATTTAATGTGAAAAGATAGTCAATGAAAAAAAAGTAAAAAAAAAAAACAAAAGACAAACTGATAGAGGGCTTAATGTCTTGATACCTAAAGTTAAGTTTACTTTTGGCTTAACTCATTTGGTCTTATAACAAATTTTTAATAAATAAAAACAAACCTGAAATCATCAAGTACACTACTCATTTAATTTCGAATCACCCATCCATTCTTCAGATCTTGGATCAAGCGAAAACAAGAAGAGATACAAGTACCATTTTCGATATATTATTTGACTACGATTATTATAAGTTTTGGTCATGTAGTTATGATATGAAATTGTACAACGCATTATGAAAATAGAGTTTTACATTTTATGTTGGAACTTTATATATATAAAGAATTTTGCAAGTTGGTAATTTCCTTTGTATCCCACATTGATGGGAGGAGTAAACGTTTGTGAGTTTATAAGCATATTCCCTTGATAGACAATCAAAGGCTTTAGTGGATCAAAAGAATGAGACAAGCCTAGCCCAAGCTGATGCTGTGAGTGTGCGATTTAGGCGTGTACTTCGCACAAGTATTTTAACATTCACGAAAATCAAAGCTCTCTTCCTCTAATCTTCCTCTCTTTGTGGTTTTTCTTTGTCATGTAGTTAAGGTTGTTTTTTTTTCTCTCTCGAACCCTAAATGAAATATTTAGATGTTACATCTGAATTGATCATCATTTAAGTATTTTAACATTCACGAAAATCAAAGCTCTCTTCCTCTAATCTTCCTCTCTTTGTGGTTTTTCTTTGTCATGTAGTTAAGGTTGTTTTTTTTTCTCTCTCGAACCCTAAATGAAATATTTAGATGTTACATCTGAATTGATCATCATTTACCGTGTTTAAATATAACATTTGAACGGTTAACAAACACTATATTCTCTCTCTCTCGAACCCTAAATAAAATATATAGATGTCACATCTGAATTGATCATCATTCACCGTGTTTAAATATAACATTTGAACGAATCCTAAATGAAATATATAGATATCACATCTGAATTGATCATCATTCACCGTGTTTAAATATAACATTTGAACGGTTAAGAAACACTATATTCTCTCTCTCGAACCCTAAATGAAATATTTAGATGTCACATCTGAATTGATCATCATTTACCGTGTTTAAATATAACATTTGAACGGTTAAGAAACATTATATTCTCTTAATTGTTAAAATATTAAAATTATTCAACATTAAAAGGTTCGGTTTTATCAAACAACCCGTTAAAATTACATAATGGATAATGGTGCATTTTTGTATAAAGTAGCTTATACATTAATTAAGGTAGGCTTGTTTTCTAGACTAAATAGATCATATGAATCATACAAAATGATTAGATTATCCTAACATTCGTAAAAGAAAATTTCACAAGATATATAAAATTTCAACAATTTCGTGAGGTTTAACTTGATCAAGTTGTGAGAAAAGAAAACAAATTGGTAAAAGGGTTAGATCTTAAAAATAAATAAATAAAAGTGTAAAACCAAGTTTTTTTTTTCTTAGGTCCGGATTAAATCTTAAAAATAAATAAATAAATAAATAAATAAATAAATAAAAAGAAACCGGAAATCATCAAGTAGACTACTCATTTAATGTTGAATCGCTCATGCATTTTTAAAAAAAAAAATCTTGGATCAAGCAAAACGAGATGAGATATATGCAAGTAAATTTTGTTTATTCATTCATCGTATGTATGTTTTCAGAAGAAAGACATAAGCTTCCACAATGTGAGATTCAACTTCGATTGAATCCAAGAACATTGCATTAATTATTCTTATTTCTTAACCAGTTTCTTCATCTGTCGAGATCGCATCAGCTTTCCACCCAAGCTCGAAGGTTATATCCAGAAAATACAACATGAATACCATGAAAATACAACAAACGAACATGGCTATAGCACCAAATAGCCACAAGAACAATGGGAACGAGAAGTAGAAAGCACGAAGACCAAAAGACCAAAAGTAACTACCCAAATTCACCGTGGATCCGACGTACTCCGCCGTCAGACGGTGGCTGGTGAAATTCGTGATCTTTCTGTAAGGAACATTGATTAGCATACTGGCGTGGCTGAAGTACCTGATCGATTGAACGTTCATCAAGAAGGATACCAAGAAGCAGACGAGTATGCTGAAGAACTTGATCGTTGACATGAACTTGGTGCCCTGATTGAAGGTTATACCAATGAAGTGGTGGTCGGTGATGCTTCCGGCGGCGGCGGAGCCATGTCCGGTAACTCCTCCGGTCATAAGGACGGCGATTAGAGAACTGAGCATGATGGCTGTAGAAGCCAACAGAGTGGATGCCATGATGTTGTTTCTCAATGTTTGTACGGCTAGAACTCCAGTCTTTTGCGTGTCCTGTCCACCAAAGTTTAACCCTTTTTATTATATAAACAACTTCTTTTTACCCTATTTTAAAAAGTAGCGAATCGTATTTATTTAATAGAGTTAATTATAAAAAAAAAAAACACAATATCAAATTAAAGAAAATAGAATGTTTGTTATATAAATTAATCGATAGTCATTGCAAAATTACAAACTTTTCGACAGTTATTATAACACCATTTTTTCTTTCGTAAAGAAATGTAAAGTTAACTAATTAACATGATTATTTTGCGACATTTTCTAAGAAAAATGTTTATTTTGTGATAATAATTGAAAATGTATTAAATGTGTAACATGATGTTTCTATTTTTCAGAATTTGGTGATCAACTTTTTGATTTTTTAATTCAAAAGGTTAGTTATAGTGAATATTAAATGAAGAGATAGTCTATTTAATTTGTTTTAGAAAACGTGGTTTAATTGATTAGAAAGAAATGTTTTGATTTCTATTTCACTTTGAAACTTCCATTACCTTCATTTCATTATTAATTTATAATCTTACACCGTAATTTTAGAGTTCAATTTGTCATAACAAAAATGTTGAGGGAAAAAAAGATAACAAAATATTTTTTTATTAAAAAATAAAGATCGACAAAGGGGTTGGAATTTGGATACTGAAGTTTAAAACCTCTCATCATCAAACATATGTAAATGTAATTTATGGTGCATCATGCATGCATATGTCAATAGACAGTTACCACACGCGTCATACAATACATGCATCATGTAAAGTGTAAACAGTAAACATATCATACATTCATACCAATGCATACACGCATCTAAGTGTTTCTGGAATCATCTGATTCCCCCAATTTTATATCTCTTCCATATTACTAATTAATCGGCAGAAACTAAGGATTTGAGATGTGATTCATGTGTGTGTGTGTGTATAGATGATAGATCGATCTCATTAATTGCATGCACATACAATCATAGTATGATAGATAATATGTAGATACACATACCTCCATCATAGCGCTCACCCAGAATCGACGATTGATAGCGTTCATGCCGATGACGGTGGTAGCAGGGTGGCGACGAATCTGATAAAGGAGCCAGACGTGATATGCAGCCATGAGGAACAATCCTAGTGGCACTAACACAAAATCGAGGACATCTTCCTCCATTTTTGATCGATTTTAATATGAATTACCGACCAAATTAAGAAGATATTTTGGAGGTTTAGAGTTTAGACAGACGAAAGATGAATGTGGAGGTGTGCGGACGGCGGTTGATATATATAGGACTGGTCCCCGCCCCGTGACATTAAGTTTCAGGATCTATTTCTGATGAATAAGCATTAAGGGCTATTTCGGTAATTCACTATTAAAACTTACTTAAAACTTTTATATAAAACTTTACATATATATATATATATATATATATATATATATATATATATATATATATATATATATATATATATATATATATATATATAAAAGACTCTTAAAATCTCGCAAAAAGTTGGGAAATGAAAGTTGTCTACTCTTCAAAATAAATCTCATTATTTAAGAGTTTTTACATTCGGTTTTTAGAATAAACATATAATGCCAATTAAATTAAATAGCATAACGATTTTTCTATATAAATCTTAGGACTTAGACACATGTCTTATATTTAATTAAATATCGAAACTATTATTAATTAGTTAGAGAAAATGAAAAACCGTTAATGTCAAAATCAATACCATTAAGAAGTTAGAATGGACATTATAACATCTTGTTAGTTTTTTAATGCATTTGTTAGACGTATTTGTATGTATATGTATTTTAATTATGAAGCCATTGTATTTTAGCCATGTCATATTGTACGTACTTTATATATCTGCATATTGTATCTCTTGGGAATAGATGAGAACACGTTGGAACATAAAGTTCTGGTTCCCTCTCATTAGGAATTTGTTGATTCCTGAATCTCATCAATCTCAATGTCTATAGATCCAAAGCCCCACTGGAAACTACAAATTTTAGAATCTTCGTTAACTTTACATTCATCACTAACTAATCATCACTTTATATATTAACACACGTTTATATATTTTGGTATACATATCTCGAATTCTCGATCGCATTGCCCCAATAAATATATAATAATTTTATCATATCTTAATTACTCCTTTAGTCACGAGAAATATTATTACGTCTTTGATAGTAATGAAAATACGAGATCTTCATGTTAAAATCAACAAAAAGCATCTATCATGATGATTATGTTCAACCAATTTATATGTATTTTATAGTAATAACATAATAATTTTTTTTAACTGCAAAGTGGCCTATTAATTGTGATCACTTAGTATAATACACTTTAACTATGAGATGATATGTCATTTAAAAAAAACTAAATAATATTTTCTAGTTAAGTTTCGTATCTTACTAATAAAATAGAATGAAAACTTATCGTGGGGCACATGTTATAATGGTCAATGGAAATGGGAAACCAACACAAATCTCGATGGAAGTATTGGTGAAACAACTTGGAGTATGAGAATATATATATATATATATATATATATAATATATATATATATATATATATATATATATATATATATATATTAAATACTAATTAACCAATGTCAAAAAAGTAAAAACCAAGAAAATGCGAGTAACAACTAACAACCCACTAAACTTTACTTTCCTCTGTATACTTTAATATATTACGTCTGAGCGTTTAACACTTAGGCTAGTAGTCACGTAAGACCTTTAATAAGATGATGTGGCAACTCAAAGTGGATCAATAGTAAATTGTTGAAATTCATAATTGATAAACAATTTGATAATTAGTATTATAAATTAATAATGAATTATTTGGTAATGTTAAACAAACAAGTGGATAGATAATATTTATGATTAAATATCCAAAACGCTTTCATATAAGCAAACAAACAACGATTAATATTGATGATTAAACGTTGAGAAGTTGTTAACAATAAATTCAGTTATTATTAATAATATTGTTACCGAGTTTCGTCCAGAATTTAGAAAGATCATTCACGACCAAATTTGATTGTAAGAAAGGAGTAGAAACAAATTGTTTTGTTGTTGGACGGATTTAAATACGAAACAATAAATTAAACCAACTTGTAGATAGCTGGTATTGTTTGTAGAATCCTACACAAATTCGTCTCATTTCCTTTAAAGTTTTTACTTTGCTTCTACAGATATAAACAACAGAGTAAAACCTCAGGATTTAATGTAGATTAACGCTTTTCCAACATTTATAGAAAACGATAAATGCAAAATGAATACTCGGAAAAGAAGAAAGTTGCGATTGTTTAAAAGAGAGGAAAGCGTTGTGAATTTCGTGTGTCGTAAATGGGACCTGGGAGGTAGCATTTATAGTGAAACGAAACCCAAGAGGCCCCAAAAAATCGGACCTGGTGCCTATGTATGGCCTCTCTCAGACTGACACGTGGCAGTTTGAAATTTGAATTAGATATCGTTATTTGCTCTTATCCGAATTCAAACCTAAAGTATATCCAATCTTTTCAAAGGATTCTAAAAGGTTTTGCCTCCTCATCCACGATGTCAATATTGGTCAACTCTCTGAGCTGGTCGGGCAAACCCGATCCGAACCGGCTCGGGCTGAGCATCGCCAAAAATGAAATCTCACCAGCTCCCTACGATCGAAAGTGTCGTGTGAAGCGCCAAATGCACCTAAATTGTGCCATTTCGCGCACTAACATCATCGGTTAAACTAGGCGTGTGTGTGTGGACTTGATCCATCTCTTGATCCACTCAAAAACTTTGAAAGTCTATCAAGAGAAAAACATTATAAACCGACAAAATGTTTCTTCTCCCACCGATGTGAGATAATGAGAAACTTGCCAACTTGCATATATCTCTCTCTATCTCTATATTTTTTCAAGTCACTTGTGAACTCCATTTTCTGATGTTGGTGGAGTGGTGTTGGTGATGATGTGTCCATCTTTCACACGTTAAGCACTTCGCATGGCCTTAGGTCGTTAACTCAACATAATAACGTATTTTCCCTTCTCTTGTTGGGTAGTTGGTGTCTTTTCCAACTCACAAAGCAATAAAAATGGAAAAGCAAGTGGCAGACAAAGGAATGTGGAACACCTCATTTGGAGGAAAAGCAAAGGAATGCATCCATTCTTTATTTCCTTAAGCATCGGCTCTTTGCCTATAAATAGAACATTCATCATTCATTTGTATATGTACCAACTTGTACTGTAATCTTCTAGCAATAATAAAATCTCTAGTTGCGGCCCGTGGATGTAGGATTTGTACCGAATCCGAACCACGTAATATTCTTGTGTTCTTCTTGCTTTATTTTCTCGTTTCGTTTGTGAGTGTGTGATAGTGTGTTTCCGCTGCGTGTACCCGGTCCGATTCCTAACAACTGGTATCAGAGCCTGGTTAGCGAGGTTTTGGAGGGTACGATCGTTTTTCTGTCACACACGAGTGTACCTTATTTTTTTTTTGTTTGCCGTAATGGCTGAAGACAAGGTTATAATCGAAAGGTTCAATGGTTCTGATTTTAGCTGGTGGAAAATGCAATTAGAAGCATTGCTATGTCAGAAAGACTTGGACGTGGTACTCGGAGACAAACCGGAGAAAATGGAAAAAGTTGCTGAAGATGCGTGGAACTCAAAGGACAAGAAAGCCAAGGCGGTTATTACATTGTCGTTGACGAAGAGCGTTGCTTTCAACATCATGAATGAAACCACGACGCGTGGTATGATGGAGGCTCTGTCAAATATGTATGAGAAACCATCGGCGGCTAACAAGGTGTTCTTGATGAAGGAGCTGTTCACTACAAGGATGAATGAGGAAGGCTCAGTTACGGTTCACATTAACAATCTAAATTCAATTCTGTCCAGATTATCATTTTTGCAAATTAAATTTGATAATGAGACTCAAGCTTCGCTGCTACTAGCTTCTCTACCTGATAGCTGGTCCGGAACAGTTACTCCTGTTACGAGTTCCGTGGGGACCAGTGGTATGACTTTTGAAGGGGTTAGAGATTTGGTTCTAGGCGAGGATATCAGACGCAAGAATCAAGGTGGATCTTCCTCTTCTGATTTATTAAATGTCGGAAGAGGTAGAGGGAATAGCAGGAATAGTGGGAGCAGTGGGAGTCGGGGAAAAAGTTCTTCTAGAACTTTGAAGAATGTGAAATGCTGGAACTGTCAAGAAGTGGGACATGTTAAGAGTCAATGTCCAAAGAAAGAATTGAACATTGCTGATGCTGAGAATTTTTCTGGGGATGATGCATTGTTACTCAGTATGGAAAGTTCTGTAGACTCTTGGGTCATGGATTCAGGGGCTTCGCTTCACGCCATGGACAACGGGGAAGCGATGGTGAATCTAAAAGAAGGAGATTTTGGGAAGGTACGGTTGGCAAATGACGAGATGCTTCAAGTAACGGACATAGGAGATATTGATCTGGTTACTTCATTGGGAACTACATGGAACCTGAAGAATGTCAGGGTGATTCCGGAGCTGAAAAAGAAATTGATTTCTGTTGGTCAGCTGGATAAACAAGGACTGGAAGTAAGGTTTGGTGGTGGTAAATGGAGGGTGGTCAATGGTAATTCGGTGATTGCTCATGGTATAAAGTGTGGGTCATTATATATGGTTGAGGTACCTGCTGAGGAAAGTATGACCGTCCCTGTTAAGCAAGACAAAATCTGGTTCGCTAAATCTACGGCTAAGAGAGTTCATTTTGCAAACATGAATTCTGGAGCCAATGGAATGTTAGCTGAACGAGTCGGAAAGTCTAAACCAGTCAGGAGATTCTGTGACAGTGGGAGCACGGGGCGTGTTCCGGGTACAGTTACAAAGAGCCGTTGGGTTTTGAAGACTAAGACTGAAAAATTCTCTCATGTTGGAAGTTTGCTAAGTTTGGAGAGTGTTAGTGGTCCTCGGTGTATCTCTGGATCCGGTGGAGTGTCCAAACCGGTTGAGACAGAGGATGAGTCGGTGGCGGGATTAGCCACGGCTGAGTTGGAGCTAGTGGGAGCTTCAACTGGCCCTTCTTGTACTTGATGATGAGGGGCGGCTGCAACTAGAGAAATGAGACTAAGTTTAGCTTGTTCTTGGGAACAGGAAGCTTGGAAGACTTGTCTGGTTTAGAGATTACTGAAGTGACTGAGGAATGTTGCTAGAGTTGGATGGTAGAAAAAGCCTGAGTTGTTCAAATCCCCAAGTGGGAGATTGTTGGGTAGTTGGTGTCTTTTCCAACTCACAAAGCAATAAAAAGGGAAAAGCAAGTGGCAGACAAATGAATGTGGAACACCTCATTTGGAGGAAAAGCAAAGGAATGCATCCATTCTTTATTTCCTTAAGCATCGGCTCTTTGCCTATAAATAGAACATTCATCATTCATTTGTATATGTACCAAATTGTACTGTAATCTTCTAGCAATAATAAAATCTCTAGTTGCGGCCCGTGGATGTAGGATTTGTACCGAATCCGAACCACGTAATATTCTTGTGTTCTTCTTGCTTTATTTTCTCGTTTCGTTTGTGAGTGTGTGATAGTGTGTTTCCGCTGCGTGTACCCGGTCCGATTCCTAACATCTCTTCCCCAATCCTTTTCATCATCACCATCTCATCTTTGTCTTTTATCATTAAGAACCATATACCAAAGATTATAAATTCAAATCAAAATTAACCAAACCCTCAAAAATCACATATAAAATTAAAACCTTATATGGTTATGCAATCTATTATGTCTACTGGTTTCAATTCTTTTTTTTTTCAATGGAAAGCAAAGGTTTTGTTTGGTTGTAGAAGAAGTTCCTTAAATTGGAGAAGGGTTTGAAAGTTTTTGGTTCAAGTTTCATTTAATGGTGTCCATATTGATAATGGTTATGTAGAAGTTCTTGATTGGGTACCCGTTGCTGCCAATGACATACAAAAAGTTAGTTTTTATTTAATTTTATGAAGCACTCATTGTATGAATAGTTTGAAATAGTATAGTAGAAATACTTATAAAATGATTTTAGGTATCAATTGAGTAAACAATTTGCGGAAAAAAAATCTCAAACTTAAAATTGTCTTAACAAACAAATGTATGTTGTTAAAAAGTTTGTATGATGATTATAATATTTAAATCAAGAAATAATGTAATCGTTAAATGTTAATTTCTATTTCAAGAATAATCATATGAAGGTCTTCTAAATATAGGTATGATTCTCAATCTTCACGGTCACTAAGTAAATGCTACCAACCTAAGCACATTCTAAAATAGTGGGTTAGAGTGTAAAGCCTAATGAGTAAATATTAATGTTAAACAAAAAGGACATAACTCTATTCTTTTTTTAAAACTCATTAAACACCAAGCTTCAAACATCCAGGGAAACATTGCAAAAGACGAGTATAGTCTTATGACATCATAATATCTAAACATCAATAAAAACAGTGTACAAATATGCAATGCGTGATATAGAAATCAAACTATAAGCGCATTTCACCTATAACTCACAAACAGAATCTTGAATCATCTAATTAGCATACACAAAACTATTTGTGATATTCCATCCAAGTTAGTAGATACAAAACTTTTAGTTTCTAAATTAGCAAACTCATGTACAATCAAACCTCTATCCTCCTCATCAAGAACACCTCAAGTGCCAACAACAACAAAAACATTCACATTATGAGTCAAAACGAAAAAAGATTGCCAAATATTGGGTTTTTTCGGAAAAAAAATGTCTTCAATTTCAATCGAAAGATTACCGTTAACCTTCGCAAAAACAAAAATAAAATTAAAAAATGATGTTTTTTTAAATAAAAAAAGTTTATATTTAACAAAAAAAAATCAAAATGTAAGAATCTTTTATATAAATAATTATGAATTATTCATTTTTAAGATCTATAATAATTTTATTTACCAATTTGAGAAAAAAAATCTTCAAAAAGGCTATGTTCTTGAGTTTTGCGATTTCGTCGTTTCGTATTTTAAACAGCAAAACGTGTATCTTTTTGTGTGGAACAGGGGTGGGTATCTCCATTTGGCGTGAATACGGAATTTTGTGTGGCTCTCCTACGTGAAAGAATAGAAAGGACAGATTTCCCTGTTTGCGATGGAAGGTTCCCATGGCTAAAAACGATTCCATTGAAAGTCTTGGGATTCGTTTGGCGGGCTAAACAAAACAAGATTGCTTCATCTGGTGCCCTCCGGAATAGGGGTATTGTATTGGACTCGTCCCTGTGTGGAGTCGGTCGAGAATCAGAAGAGACAGGAGATCATCTCCTAGTCTCGTGTCCTCTAGCAAAGGATATTTTTCACTCGATTTTTAATTGGTGTAACGTTCAAGTGACGGTTTTCCAGTCGGTCACTAACATGATTGACTTTGCTTCCAAATGGGGAAATTGCCCCAAAAAAAAGAAAACATTAATCACGATCCTATTCGGTGCATTGTGGTGTTTATGGAGGGCCAGAAATGATAGAATCTTCAACAAAATTGAATGACAACCGGCGAGAATAGTTTCTACCACTAATGACGCGCAAACAATGACACTCGCAGATTTACAATACGCATTTGTGTGCGTCCTTAAAAATAATGTTAGGTTACCAAAAACTGAAGGATAGAAGACACACATTTTTACGTGCCCTTAAATTGGTGTCTCAAGAAAAAAAATAAAAAACACGGAGGGCACCTACGGAAAAAAGCGTGTCCTCTAAAGGTGTTGTTTTATATTTTTTTAGGAAGGCGCGCAATTCTCCATTTTTTTTAATAGCCGGGAAATGAAATCCCAAAAAATTAAACACCCCGCCATGTATCTCCTTTTTCTCCTTCTACCAATGAACCCTAATAGAATTGTGAGGCTGTCAATCCTTTTGAAGCAGCCCGTCTTCCTCTACCTATGCATTCTCTATCCCTTCCCTTTGGAAGCCCTAACTTCCACCACCAGCATCGAACCCCATCATCCCTACGAGGGCGGAATGCATCTGATGAAATCGACAGCTGGGCCATCGAACCCCATCAACCCTAATAGAATTGTGTGGAAGGAAGTTGGATTGACTCCGTAATCGGCAACGACTACCGCTGCTTCTTTCGCTCGTACTCCGACCGCCACCCCTTCTCTTTCCGGTTGTCGGCATCCATAAAGGCAACAACATGCTTGTCATCACTAGATTTATTCTTTGCTCTACCCTGTTTCCCCTCTCAGCACACACTTTTTTCCAGCTTCCAACCCACTTTCCTTGAGACAAACCCACCTCCGCCCACCATCGCTAGCACGCCACCGTCGACCCTCCCCAGTGTCACACCTCCTCTAGCTACTTCGTAAGAATTAGAGAGAATAAATATTGTAGAAGAAGATACGTGGTGCACACACTGCTACCCAGTTCATGATTCTCGTTCAGTCCGCTTTCACCACCAAAAAGAAGGTATCTAGGGTTTTCAATATATCTCGTTTTTTAGGAATCATAACTCGATGATTGCACTGTTCAGGTTCGTTATACTTTTCTTCACCTCCCTCCGCTTTGATTGCAAATTTGTTTGAATTTTTGGAAACTGGGATTAGATTACAGCTTTTCAGTGTCCGATCAAAACCAGGAAATCAGCAAAGGGCGAAACTGCCATTTGGTGTAAAACAGGTTGCTTGTGGACATTCTCACAAAACTTATCTGCACACAAGATGGTAGAATCCATAGTTGGGGTTATAACAGCTATGGCTAAGCAGCTAACCAGAAATGCACTTATACTTGGTACCCATCTCCAGTTGATTGGTATATCTCTCTTTCTCTCTTTCTCTCTCTCTCTCTCTCTCTTATTTGACTTGAAGGTTTGACTGATG